ATATATATATCTGTGTATATATATATATATATATATATGCATACAAGTATACACACACACACGCGCACATATACATAGATATATATATATATATATATATAATATATATATACTTTGCATACATACATACATATATGCATACGTACATACATACTTACATACATGCATACATACGTATATATATATACATACTTCCATACAAACATAATGTATATTTACGTACATCCATATATATGTACATACATGCATACCATGTACATATACATACAGTCATGCACACAAGACATACATACATACATATATAAATCAGACATACATACACACACGCACACACATACATACATATATACATACATACAGGCATACAGGCATGCAGGCATACATACATACATACATACATACATACATACATACATACATACATACACACATACATACATACTTATTTATTAATATATATATACATACATACATACATACATATATACATACATACATAACTGACATACATTCTTACAACTTACAACTTACAACTTACTTACTTACGTACTTAGACACATACATGGATCTCTGCACTGGCACTTTTACAGTGAATCCACTCCTATTGAAAACATTAAAAATTACATGCAGTCCTGAGAAACGCATTCACACGTGTATAATACCATCAGCGACCATGAAAGTTGTAGTAAACGAACGCTCATTTCGTTGCATGTTGAAGCATAGCAATTCTGAAGTGCCTGGCAAATGCGGGTTATTTTGTATGGATCGGTAATGACTACAGTCACCCGCTCTAAATGTATCGGTCGGCAAGGGTTATGCCTGGATGGAGTCTTCTCAGTGAATGTTTTTATAATATTGGTCTAGGTTAGAAATGAGTATTAAGATTATTTCATAGAATTCACAAGTCTGGTTGGGTCACTGGGGTCGTGTTATTCTGCGCTCCTGCTCCACAGCTAGTTTAAGTGCACGCAGAAGTAGAGTGAGTGTGTCAATTTCGACAGCACTTGTTTGCACCTAAAGATATTCCATCATACCCGACTGTACACATTCCGTCTGCTGTCCCGTGTTTTCGTATATCACTCAATATTTTCAAGTATCTATTGCTCACTCTTCTACTTTTTTCAATCCTGCGCAGCTGAACGTCAAGGTGGTGAATGAGCCCAAGACAGTTGTATTGTCATTATCGGATTCAATCTCACAACACGCCGTCCAAGAGGAGAATAAAGATTCGCTCCGAATTCCCAGGTATATTATTGGGTATTGTATGCGATATAAACATATTAGTAGAGTAATGTCGCTGAGCAGACACAAGTTTGTGATGCTCAATTCGATCCCAATCAAATATGAACTCCGATATCCGTGTGATGTTTCTAAGTACATGTACAAATTGATACGGGGATGGCCATCTGCACGACTGTATCCATAAAAGGAGGTTGAATATGTGTGCGTGGTTTCATTTTGGGCCTTGGTATGCATGACTTGCGCCTAGTATTGTAAATCATGAAGCTTCGTTTGTCTATGTGCAACTGCTTACATCGATCTGACATTAACGCCACAGGAGACCTCAGTGGGATGAAGACACGACCGCTAGTGAGTTGAAAGAGAGTGAGCGAGGTATGAAACTCACAATCCGTATTTTGCATTAAAAGCATCGGTCATAGGTCAGACTGGAGACCGGAGTGTACGTGTATGCGTGTCATCTTTAATACAATCCATACAGCATGTACACTAAACAATTAATTGTCTTTGTCGTCACACAGGGTCATTCGTCGAATGGAGAAGAGGCCTTGCCACCCTTCAAGGAAAAGACCATATACACCTAACCCCCTTCGAAAAGAATTTGGAAGTCTGGAGGCAACTTTGGCGCGTGGTAGAACGTAGTGATCTTATTGTACAGATTGTAGATGCTCGTAATCCCCTACTGTTCTTTTGTGAGGATGTCGGCAAATACGTCAAGGAGGTCGACCCCACGAAAAACTCTTTATTATTGATAAACAAGGCCGATATGTTGACGGAAGCACAACGCCTCCATTGGGCAGACTACTTAACTGTAAGTACACCGAGCGCTCACATTTAATTCCTACTTTAGATTTTGGAAAAGCTAGTCGACACATTGGAACACTTGTATACAAATGACGCCAGCACTCAGGAAAACCGGCGATCCTGCTCTCTTTTGAATCATTCACAAATTCATCTTTATCTTCATGCAGGAGCAAGGCATTCCATTCTGTTTCTGGTCGGCGAATCTGGAAACCGAGAAACAAGAAGAGGCCGCAAGAGAGGCTAGAGCTATCGCCGAAGCAGAGGAGATGCGAAATAGGCTCCAACCCAATCATTTAGATTCCGACGGGAGCGCGGACGAGGAGTTAGATGTTGTTGAAGAGCAGATGCAGAGAATCACTGTAGATGATAAGAGTACTGATGCGGCCATCAAGGTTGCTGCGGGCGAGGCGAACGATGCAGATCCAGACAGTGACACAGAGACAGAGGCGAAAGCTCCGAGAGGAAATATCATTGACGATCCATTGCAAGTGTTGGATGCGGAAGCCCTAATTGAGCTGTTCAAGGCAGGCTGCCCGGATATGTATAACACTCCTGTTGATCGGTATGATTATTGTACTTTGAAAGATTCAGTTGTGCGAATTCAGCATGTATGTTGGGACATTTGGTTGGCTGCTTCTAATATTTCTGTCACGTTTACACTTTCGCACAGACATGGGGAGCACCGCCTGCCAACCGTAGGTCTTGTTGGATATCCTAATGTAGGTAAATCATCGACTATCAATGCCTTATGCGGTGCTAAAAAAGTATCTGTGAGTGCAACACCCGGTAAAACCAAGCATTTTCAGACTCTTATCCTCCAAGACGATCTGCAGCTGTGTGATTGTCCTGGGTTGGTATTCCCGTCTTTTGTGGCTACACAAGCTGAATTGACGTGTAATGGTGTTCTCCCAATTGATCATTTGAGAGACCCCATTCCACCAATGACTCTGCTAGCGAAAAGAATACGCCGAGAGGATTTGGAGGAGATCTACGGCCTACAAATAATCAAGTAAGCGATTTTGTAATATAATTTTCAGTTATAGGTGTACACTGCACCACTTATTTTTTCACGCTTGTAAATCTAAATATTGGTTAAACCGCCCTCTGCTCATATCTATAGTATCAAGCGGGTGCTTTTGCACTTGAACATGAATGCACTGGATACCATCTAGTGTTTGCGCGTATGCACGTTGATGATGCCTCCAGAAGTTATATTTGACGCGTAGAATCTTAATTTCCAGATGCACAAACAGTCACTCAGGATTGTCTGCTGCGATAAACTAGCATTTTTATTGTAGTACTTGAGCGATTGGTATTGAAGTAGATACAAAGCTTGGTGAAAATACTGCAATAATACTATTTCCATGCATGTGGTCGATCGTATAAATCACGCAATATGCTGATACAAAAATATTGAAATAGAAGGAAAAGTACCTTTTTGTGCAATAAAATGCCTGCATGTCTTGCCGTAATATTAGGAAAACATCTACCAATATTTTATCCAACGAAATGACCTCGCTTAGTTACGCCAGGACGCTACCATTTGATGCTTCTCAATGTTTCCTGGTGGTGAGCGAATCACATTCATTGAACCAATTGAGCCTCGTAGTGTATAGTCTCAGTAATCGCTTCTCGGCTGAGTTTTGCATGTTCTTACTAAAACCAATTTGTTAAGCCGTTCACCCACACCATTCACAAACTTAACACAGACCATCAGCCGACGACCCCAACTGTGACCGCTTACCTACTTCGCATGAAGTACTACATTCTTATGGACGACACAGAGGATACATGACCGCTCATGGTTTACCCGATATTCAGCGATCTGCGAGAATTTTACTTAAAGATTATGTCAAGGTGAGTGCGCAACGTTGTGATTTTGGCCTTATATGGACGAGATGGTGATCTACATCAGACTTAAATGCGACTATTATTCACGACGAGATCTGGGAATTGTTCAAGCTGATAATAATGGTGAATGTCTCTCTACAAGCAAATTGCATGTATGAAAAAATACACTACAACGGATCCGCTAATCAATGCCATTCTTGTTTTAACAGGGAAAGTTGTTGTATTGCCACCCGCCCCCCACTGTAGATGAACAAACATTCAATACGCACTTGGGACCGAATATGGGAAGTGGACCCGATGACACCGATTATTCAGAAGCAGACACATCTGCACTATATTCGACGTCCGGTATCACGGTAAGTGCCTTTGTCTCACGGCCAATGTAGACAATATACGGGAGAGGAGCTCAATATTAGTTGTTAATTTATATATATTCGCGCATAAATATACAACGTTTGATGTCACTGTGCGTGTTGCCATGTAGCCAACTACTATATCCTGTGGGCTATAACATTGCACCTTGTGATTATTTCACTCAGTTGCAAGAATGTGTCGACACAGTCCTAGGGCGGTAAGTGTGCAACGAGGGCTGATTAGTCAATGGGCTAGGCTTGATATCTATTATGCGCTATCTCGATTTAACACTTAATTTTATATGTGCTCGTGATTGTTTAACAGAGAAACCAAGATTACCACTATGCCGACAAGACAGAGGGTGGTAAAATTCTAGACGCTGTGCAGTCTAAAACCTCGGGAAAGTCAGCCCATGCATCGAATATGACCAAGTATAGAACTGACGCTGTCATCAAGCAGAAGGAGATCGAGCGGGATGAGCTGGGCCGTCCGATTGGCAAGCCTTGGAGAAAACACAACAATAAGGTATAGAGTTGTTCCCAATTTTCTCTTCATCATAAGGAACAGGTAGAAGTTGCTTGCAAAGATCAGTACAACACATAAATTGAGTGAAGCTCACAACCAATTGTTTTTTCCCTAGCTAATCATTCAATTAAATCTTGTCCATTTTAGGGGAAAAACGAGAAAACAAGGCGGATATACGAAGGTGTAGCCTCAGAGGGCGGTTTGAAGTAGTTTTGTATGAATCGTATGAATCAAATGGATTGGTCAGGCTTGAGCTGCAGACTACGTAAGGACATATGAACGTTTTCTAGAATACAACAAAAGAAAGTTGCTAGATTACGCTAAATGATTACAGTGAATAAAATAAATATACTACACCTGAATGATATTCGCTATCCCTTTGTATGTATCTGTGTCGCGTGACTCGTATACAGACATTAACGAACACTTACAATTCGGAGATGCAGCAACCATCATTGTGTGTACGTCTGCGTAAACGTCTGTTGAATAATTGTCTTCGTCAAAGTGCAGCAGAAAATAGAAAACACACGAATTTATTAGTATAGTACTGAAATGTTGCCAGACTTCTGTGAACGAAATATACTTTCGACGAAGGTATTCATCTAATTGCATACGCAATTCTTCGTGCACTTCTGAAGAAAAGATTCATTTGATTTCATATGCAGTTTTTCGTACAATTTCGACCAAGGTATTCATTCAATCACATGAATTCCTTCTGCACTTTTGAAAAAGGGATTCATTTGATCACATGCATTTCTGAATACCTTCAGATCCGACTGATGGCTCTACACAGTTGGCATATGCCGAACCAGTCTCTTCGTCCGCTAGCTTCTGTGGTCCATCAGTGTAGTGGGGACTGTGTTTTTAGTTGGCATATGCCGAACCAGTCTCTTCGTCCGCTAGCTTCTGTGGTCCATCAGTGTAGTGGGGACTGTGTTTTTAGTTGGCATATGCCGAACCAGTCTCTTCGTCCGCTAGCTTCTGTGGTCCATCAGTGTAGTGGGGACTGTGTTTTTCACGGGTTTATGTCAGCAGAACAATGACGTACTACATATTGTATAGCACTTATAAGAGAGATAATTCATATTTCTTAGTTTTTTTTAGCGCGAAAATAAATAAGAACAAACTGCGTGTGAGATTTAAGCTATATGGTGTTCTATTCATGGTGCACTCGCAACCGGATTTAGCGATCCCTAATACTATCAGCATATGATGTTCGCCAGTCGATCTCGCACTATCTTTGTTATGACGCCGTCAAAAAATACACAAATTATCCAATTGATATCCCAGCATTCAAAATATATCTTACTCAAGGACCTGAATCGAAAATACCACAACAATTGGTAGCCTACAGTCGATGTTTCACTATTTCAATGGGTCCCTGGCAAAAAAAACTGTCAAAATCTTGCTCGCATCTAAAAGCAAAGACAAAGACCTCAGGCCGCCATAAGTCGTGAAGCAAAAAGATCCACTTAAATTTTCCTGAATTCCAGGTTAGAAGACGACCGCGGAAGTTCAATGGCTACATCCACGATATAATTATACAATAATGGCATATAAACGAAATAGGTCTACTTACGTACACTTCTATAGCGAGCACACAGTATAAAACCACATGTACCCCAAATAAAATCCATCGTACCAAACCCTGACTTCAGGGTAGGTCAAGGTTATGAACCACTCATAAGTAGTCAAAACTGTGCAAATACATCATGTGGCATCGAGCGGCGCTTTAAGGCAATGCTGATGTTCACCGCTATCTTGTTAGCCACGGATGAGGGCGGAGAGAATGTGTTCGATTGAAGCACGAATATAGCATCATCACTTTATGATTTAGTGTCCGTAGGTTTGCTCATAACTCGCTCAAGACTAGCCGGACCATCTTGCCGCGCCGTTGGGATTGAAGGCAGGTGAGTGAGCTTCTCCGAATTGCCCATGCCTTGTTGCTGTTGAGTTGTTGGCCCCTGAGGTTGTCCCCGTGGGCGGGATTCTAAGCTGTGATTTGGTCCGTTGGCTGTTTTTATCCTTGTGGGGGGTGCTGTCGCTTGTCGCTCGACTTGCGCACTTTGCTCGAGCAGATAATCAACGAAGGATTCAGCGAACGACTGCAATAGATATTATAAGAAGCAATAAGTAATTTTTATAAATTGAAATGTTATCATCACTACTCTGTCAGATAAAATGAATATCGGTTGAAATTTGTTGAATTTAATTGAGCTATAGATTGCACTTTTCGTTGACATACCTGTATAGGGACCTCTGAAGGCCTCCGCGGCTCAGGAGCAGAGATTAGTCCAGGATTAACGAAGCTCCCGAAGTAACTCAGTCCTCTACCGGCCAGTGAAGTAGGTGGACCAAGACCGGTCTGGGATAGGAATAGACCGTGGATGAGTTAAGGTAGATTGCAGATATCGTTGTACATGATAGCAAAAAGAATAAACAAATACTCACCAGCTCTTTCTGCTTCGCGTCGAAATCCAATAGATTCGCCATCACTTGCATAGTGTCTTTGCTTTTCCCAGATGAGACGTACTGAACTATGAAGTTCCGCATGAGACCTTTATCGATTACGTCGCTCTCGGCTGACATCAAGCCTGTAATTACATCAGTTTTTAAAAAACAATTTCGATTAGGAATAAGGGCAGGGATACACATCCATTTACTGAAGCTCAACACCAGTTTTCGGGTATAACCCGTCAATACCTTTTGCCAGCTCTGCCTGATAAGATGCCAGCTGGTCTTGCAACTGCACCAGATTCAGCCGCAGACTCATGTTCTCATCTTCGAGAGATTGTTCAGTGTTTCCGGATAGGCTCTCTGTGTGCGAGACACTGGCACGCGCTTGATGCTGATGGTGTGCAATCTGAAGTTGCTCCAGGGCGGCTTGCCCCTGTGGTCAGCGATTATAAAACAGTGAGAAAAATGACAATAATACGTTCAAAATTAGTGTGACACGAATAAAAGGCTAGAAGCGATTTGGAGATCGCTCATTGTATGCTATGGTTACAGAAGTTCGGGTTACAAAAAGAAGAAAAAAGAAGAAGAAAAAAGAAGAAAAAAAAGCAGACTTTGTGACTTTGTATTAGCACTAACATCGCACGCTGCCACCAATTTACCTTAGCTACTTCGTCTTCTTTCATGGCAATTTCTTCTTTGCATTGTCGAAGTTCGAGTTCCAAAGTTCGAATAGACTTTTTTAGGCCCCCTGTAGCTAAAGATAGCTCTTCTTCCTTTTCCGTTTCATTGGATGCAATTACCAATCGCAAATTCTTGAGGGAACCTTCAAGCTGTTTGTGGCTGGTTCATGAAAAGAATCAATTCAATAGTAGATAGATACACCACAGTTGAGTCTTCAAATGGCGAGGTATAAGCAAGTATTCACCACTATGGAGCCAATATACCATTCAGTAGACAGGTATGCGATACGCTAGTGAATACGTGTATGACACTAGAATACAATTCGAAGAATATATGCCACCTCACCTTGCTTCAATAGAACGCAACTGTTCCTTCAGAGCATTGTTCTCGCTGACAGCCACTTCCAGTTGAGCAGCGAGTTCCAACACCTGCGATCATCATTTAAAACGAATTCGTCGAATTCCAAATAAATATCAGCTCACGAACTGTCAAGTGAGATTCTTATTCTGTTGCCACTGTTACAAAAATTGGGCATCTGACCAAGATATTCGAGATGAATGCAGACTTAGACAAGTAGCTAGGGTGCAATGAACATCAGAATGAAAAACGATAGAACACTATACGTACTTGTGCCTCCAAATGCTGAGTTGATGATGATGATTCTTCACTTTGAACAGCGACTCTCTCTTGGATGTTGTTCAATTTTTGTTGGAGATCTTCAATGACCTAAGAATTGAAGATGCTGAACGTAAATACGTCTATAGGATGTTGAAGGAGTTGAAGCTTACAGACACTTATCGCATCATTTATGAAGCTAAATAGTGCAACCGCCTCGAAAGATTCATCAATCTGCGACGAGTGAGCTGGTGTATACACAACGCACAGCATACATGCTACAACATCTGGTTACCTTTTCCCTTTCTAATGCATCGCTCGTGTGAGCATCCTCCCTTTCCATGAGATGCTCCTGCAGTCTAAGTACCTGCACATCCTTCTTTTTCAGTTTCGCTTCCAGATCGACAACGTAGTCGCGTGCAGCCTCATCTGCGGCAATATTGGTGCTCATACCTATCACTTGCTGTTTCAGTGATGAAGTCAATTCTTCATACTCGTCGATTCTCCTTCTCGCTATTTGGGCATGTTCTTGCATCTCCAATTTTTCCGCCTGTAAAGTAGATTGCTTCTGCTCCAGCTCGGCTATTGTGTTCTTCGCCTGTGTTATACCATCAATTCTGTTTTGCATGTTTTGCTCCATTTCTCCCAGTCTCATTTCAGCTTGATAATTTGATGTTTCCAGATTTTGAATGAACGCCGCTAATTCCATTTTGATCTGGTCTGTATTGCTAACATCGACATCCTTGCTGAGCACCGAATTTAGTATTTCCGATATTTCCACCAAAGCATCATCCTTTGATTGTATAATTGTTTGTAAACTAACAATCTCATCATTGTACATGCTGGCTTGGGTGCCTTCCTCGGCATTTGATCTTTCTGAGTAAAAAAATATCAATAAGGTCTCACAAAAACATAGCCGAATGTGCACTATTGGAGTTGCTGCTGCACGGCCGCCTTTACAGTTCAAGGTATATCATAAGTTTAGCACGATAATGCATGCCAACAGTAAGCTTTTTGAAATGTAGCACAGATGCAACGAGAATATAAACCTGGCGTATAGCTGACTTCTTCACGTTACAAATAAAAATTGTAGCAAAGAAATAAAAATTGAAGATACCTCGCTCGTGCTGTTCCTGTGTCCGTATTATTCCATCTTTCTGAGACAGCAAGTCTGTGAGAGCTGCGACCTCCGTGTGCTTTAATTGTTCAGCATCGAAACACTCTTGTTCTTTCTGCACCAAAAGACCCTGTAACCTCTCCATTTCGAGCTGGCTTTGCTCCAGACGGGACTGCTGGTCAGCGATCGTCGCGGAGAGATTGTCCGTGATATTCTGTAAGTCAGCAACTTGCGTGGCGTACGACTGAATCGTCGCCTGCAGCTGCTGCAGAGCATAATAGATAGGGTACTTTAATCTTTCAGGAAATGCAGTTGAAGTATACAACGATGCACGTGAGGATTTGACAATTGATTAGAGTGATGAGCAAGTGCACGGCAGAGAAGCGATCTCCCCAAATATTCTAAAGGCAAGCTTAAAAGAAACATGCATGTCCTCGCAAATGGAGTTGATCAAGTACACATGGTGCAAATGTATGCAGTGAGCCTGCCAGTGCAGATTCTATAGACTGGGAATTAATCATACCTCCTCATTATTTTTAGTCGTTGTATGGCTCGTTTGCGTCTCGTTTTCAAGATTAGTCAATCTTTCCTGGTGTACTGCTACTTCTGCTGTTTTAGCATCAATCTCCGATTGCAGTTTAGCCCTAAAATGGCAAGATACCGAACGCGTTCTGAGTATGGTATAATGCGATCACGAGGAAGCACCAAATACTTCACATACGCTGCTTCTAGAAATAAAATCTAATGTATATACATACATGGTACTTTGATGTAAATTCTCCAGAGCAATTTGTTCGTTCCTCATAGCACCCAGCTTGTTCTCATACTCCTCGACAACTGTCGATAATGCAACTCTTTGGGCATCTGCATGTTCCTTGCTAGAGGTTGAACTTGCCATTGATTTTTCGTAGTCGGTACGAAGACTCAGGAATTCAGTCTGCAGCGAATTTCTCGTCTCATTCAGATTCTCATATTCCATTCTAGCTTTAGCCAAGGCTTCGATGCTGTGCTGATGTTCTGCCTGTACCTCCGCCAGCTCAAAATGCAAACTGTCACGATTCGCCTCAGAGTTGCGTAGTGCGTTCGAAAATTCTTTCTGTTCACTTTCCAGTTCCGCTATCCTTTGTTTGGCTTCATTGTAGATATTTTTCATTTCGGCGGTCATATTTTGCATGGAAAGTACATCATTTTCTAGGTGTGTAGCTCGATTCCACATGGAGTCTAACTCAGCACGCAACATATGGCACTGTTCATCCGATGCACTACAGGCAACACATGATTTGGTTACTGGATCTCTAAGCAGCGATTCCTGCTGCATATGGGCCGGTTGCATCTCTGCCAACTGTGATTGCTGAGAACCAACTTCTGAGTGTGTGGCTTTGATGGCGACATTTTGTGCTTCCAAAAGTTCTGTTCGTAGATTATCACACTCTACACGCCGAGCATCAGCAATAGCCACACTATCTGCTACTTGTTTGTCGTGGAGACTTTTGGCCTCCGCATTTGCAGTGCTCAAAGCAGCGAGTTTACCTTCCAGATCGGTTCGAAGGTGCGTCAGTCTCGATCGCAGGTCGATCTTCTCAGCTTCTGCATGATTCAATTCTTTTTGTACTTTTTCTACCTCTGATTGTAGCCGTTCTTTATCTGCCTTCGCGTTATCAAGTTCTGAGGTATACACGCCAAAATCGGCTTCCATGGCAGCAATCTTTGCCAACAGATTGCCTCTAGCCTCCACCCCAGCTTCAACAGATGCCTGTGCTTCAGCAATTTGTGCCTCCAGCTGCGCATTCGCCTCTTCAGATGCACTTGCTTTTGCATTTGCAACATGTACCTCGTTTTGCAAATTCTCTAACTCTGCGCGGACGCGGTCATGATTGGTTTCAGCGCCGCTCAGCGTGGCGATACGGCTGTCATGAGCACTCTGTAGCGATGCGAGCTGCTCACGTAAGCTCCTGACCTCCTCGTTTGCTCGCTGCAAAGAGGCTTGGGTGTCCCTCAACACCGCTTCACACTGCACCATCTGCTCTTTGTAAGTGCTTATATCGTCATTAATTGCCCCTCCGACAGAGTCTTCTTCTACGTATGGCATTGCTGCAATCTTAGCTTCATATTCATCTTGCATTTTCGTGAGATCGTCTCGTAAAGTGTCTCCTTCCTCTTCGGCGGCCTTGCATAATGCGCGAGCGTGGGCAAGGTCACGGTTTAATCTATCGCGTTCTCGCATGATTTCGTCCCGTTCAGAGATAAGTTTATCGTGACCTAGGATGACTTCGTTTTGTGCTCGTATTGTGTCCACGAGTCCATCAATTTGGGACTGAGCTGCTTCGTGCGATTGCTTGTCACCGTTAGACCCCACGCTAGAGATCTGGAGAGCATTGATCTGCAAATGGAGTGTCAGTAGTAAAAAAATTCGAAGTGCATTAATTTTAGAACTATCATATGCTCTAAAAAGGACAGAACAAAGCGAAACGACGATACATTGTTTGAAATATGATATTAAACCAAAATGCAGATCCAAGGTGGGGGAGGAAGCCGGGATTTCTAAACGAAACGAACATACCTCCTCCGTCAAGGAGTTGATTTGTGAGCGCAGCTGCGAATCATGTATATCCAGCTCAGCTTGAGCATCTCGGCGTGTCTGCTCATGGGCAGATTCCTCTTCGCCTAGCTTCTCTTGAAGCACCTGCATATTCAATGTACATGGAACATCGCATTACACACACATTTTAGGCCTGTCCATGGTAGCTCGAATACAACAATGGCTATTAACATTCGCATACCTCTATCAGTGACTGCATATCGTTATTGGATGCTGAATTCTCCACCTTCACTAGCGCAGCTTCGCTTTTCGCCTGTGAAGTTCCGCAAAATAAAAATAGTAAGGTTTCTTGTAATAGAAAACTGTACGAAACCTTTTGTACGAGTGCAACCAAATTGCAACAAACATAGGATCCTTTACTCATTATGAGCCTATAAAGGAAGGCTAAAATAAGGTTCATGGCAAACGAATACCTTCAAAGACGATATGACTTGCATAAGCTGCGCCATCTCTGCTTGATGAGACTCGTTCAATGTTGTCAGAGTCTCTTCGAGCCTTTCCTTTTCTTGTTGCATCTGATAGTATTGGGCCTCATCCACTGAGCTTGCATGTTGAGTTCTACTCCCGTCGGTGAATGATGCTGCATCGTAGTCATCGGCGGACTCATCACCGTCCCCATCTCGGTCGTTACCAATGAATCTGCCCTCTGTGTCATCATTGCGACTTTGACGTCCATGACTGATGATGTAAGGTATGCGAAGCAGGTATTACTCACATGATTTGTACTTGTTTTGGGCATGGAACCAACTTGTTTATTAAGCGACATTTTACAGAGTATTTCAATCCAAGAATTATAAGGAGTACGTGCTATTGATAAGTCGCCATACATTTCCTAACTGCAGAGGGGGGAAGTCCCCATACGTGTACATTCCCACATCGGTTTATATATATATGAGCACATATATAATACAATGATGTGTAATTGCCACTAATTGTGTCACGAGACAGCCAAATACATACAAAACTTTGCATGTTCTACATAGAATCAAAAAAGATACATGAAACAAAATTTGAATACAGAACTCACTTCCATATAAACTTTTTCATCATTTATAGTGAAATATCTGTTGATTTTTAGCAGGCCTTTTGTATGCACATGTGCATACGTATCTCACCGGAGACAAGCCTTCATTTCAGTATAACTTTGGAAGTATTCATATAGGGGAACGTGCTTGCCGTTGTATAAATACATATAGGTGTATCTGAAAAATCGAAGATTTCACATGTGATATAGATTGTTTTACGGAGTTCTAGTATATATGTCTATATGTAGCCGATAACTTCGAGATCACAAGATGTGATAAAAACTCTTAACGAATGACACACGTACATATCACCGCAACATGATGACCTATCTGCTTCCGTTTACAAAATTGAATGCATTCATTTTTTTCAACAAATCTATATATATATATATATATACAACACACACATATATACATATATATAATATATATATACTTGCACACACACACACACATTTTTATATATATATATACATGTATATATATCTACATATACATAGATACATATATAGAAACATAGAGGAATAT